ATAACAGGTTAGAAATAGGTGGGTTCCTACCATAGGTTATGAACAGACTACTTCTAGCTGCTGGGCAAACATGAATTGTAGGCTAAATACAATTAAGGAGCCAGGTCCTCTCCTCACTTAGTCACTTACAAAATGTTACTTCGTTGGAATTCTGCAATAGTCTAGGGTCAGGTCTCAAGTGAGGAAGATGAAAGTACCTCTTCCCTCTGGGTTATTTATTTAGGAGCTATTAATGCAAAGAGAGGTTCCATGAAGGCAGCAGCAGGGGAGAGCAGGTGCAGAAAGTGATGGTCTGCTGATCAGTGAAAACACTTTCTTTCTAAGGCTGAGGCCAGGAAATCTTTGCTGAAGAACAATCTTGTATTCATCGCAGAAAACAAGCTAGGGACTCAGTTGGAATTTCTCCACGTTTAAGCTCTTTAATAAGAACATGTTTTACCTCTATAGGCAGCAAAGTGGAAAATGAGCAGGAAGAAAATTATTTTTTTCAAATCATTAATTTATCTTCATTCCTAGGACCCACTGAGTACCAAACACCAGATGGGACCACTTCGATTACTTATATTGCCTGTACAATCAAGGGAAAACCAGGTGACCAGCAAGTATGAAAATTTACTTCTTTAGCTCATAGTTTCTATGAGAGGGCTCTGCCAAAGACACTGTTCCTGACAGGAGTCCTGGGCACTAGAAGGTACATATTTCTCTCTGAGAGAAAATGAAGAAAGGAAAACAGAACTGAATGTACAAGAGCCTTTACCTTCAGCAGCTCTCTTGAAGAAGACCTTGCAGCTGCCACAAGTGAGAGCTCCATAGTGACACCCAGAAGCTTCATCGCCACAGATCAGGCAGGTCTTTTGCGGAGGAAAGTAATAGTCAATGGGCAAAACGTGGTCCCTGGCGTTCTCCAAACTGGAAAGACAAACAGAAAAGAAAGCAGCACACATTAATGGGTGGCAAAAACAGGAGAGCAAAATTGTAAGGTCCTTAGGATCAAATTGTATGGATAAATTGTTTTAAGTCATTTCTGAAATGGATCAAGCTGAATTTTCCTGGGACTTCTCCTAAACATGATTTTTTTAAGATTTCCTGTAGCATGAACTGAGGGTTTTGCACCCTGATAAAGGATCAGGACAATTCTCTGGGATTAGCCAATCTCATGGATTTTATCTATGTAAGGGAAAAATGAAGGCAAGAAATATGTGGTTAAGCTATGTAATTCAAGGTGGTGGTCAGGCATCATTTACAAAGTAATAAAAGATTACCTTATGACCTAACCTCATCCAAAGGAAGACTTGTGACAAAACTGACAAATATCAAAATGGTTTTGTCTTTTTCTTTAGTTCCTTGAGCCTCAAATCTCATCTGTATAATACAGATAATATTACCCATCCTTCTGAGTTGCTACAGTGACAATATAAATGAAATAGTAGCTTTTGGGATGAATACGTAATAAAAGTGTCATAATTATTACAGAAGTATTATACCACTCTTCATTGTATTTTTCTCAATTTCATTTTCCTTAGACATCTTTCTAGATCATGTGGGCATGACCTTGCCCACATTTTATAAAGTAGAAGAATCCCCGTCAGATGCTTTTGTTTAGAAATGATACACAGTGATGTGAGAAATCTTTTGGGCTGCTATCAAAACATTTGGTCATTTTAAAGCTCTGGGGTTCCTGGGGCAAGCATGGTGCACCAGAAGGCATCTAGTATCACTGCTTATCTCCAAGAAGGTGTGTGCCTAAATTCTTCAAGTTGGTAATGAATAGAAGAGGGAAGAAAGCAATCTTAAAACCTTCACAGTATAGTGATTCTTAACTTCCCATACTAATTAAATTAAGTTTAAAGAAATTGCACATAAGTCTTACTAACCAAAGTTGAACTTTTGTCTTTCTTGTTTCCTATGTCCAGCTATATCTAAAATTCAATTGACCTTGTGGGTTAATCTTTCTCAGATGGATGACAAATGGCAACAATATCATCCAGAGGAATGAAAATTTATATTGCATGAATACATCTTACTTACAAACAAAAGGAAGGAAAATAAGTGCTAATGGGAGCTTGTCTGATGTGCTGTATGACTTCACAACAACTTGGTGAGCTTGTTTTCTTATTAGTATATCCATTTGGACAGATGAAGAAGTAAAACTCTGAGGGTACAAGCCCAGGCAATTTGATACCAAGCCCAGGACTATTTGCCTCCAAGTTGAACAGTTTCTTTTACCCAATTGTCTTCTCATTACTCATCTTTACTATCTAACATTGGCTCTTTGGTTATCATGTTCAACACAGTCATCAGAATCCAGCAAAAGCATCAAAGGTCATCCTCCCCTTAACTGCAAGTGAGCAAATCGGATAGGGCAACAGCAAAGAAAAGTTTCCCTCAGGTTACATACTATAAGGATCTCATCTCCAAGACACAAATATCAGCCTTTATTCAAGTTCCAAGTACAACAGAAAATGCTCAAAATTTTATGTTGATATGCAAACCCAGCCAATGAGTATAGTGGCCTAGTTTCTCTCCTCTCAAGCCTTTTCCTTTCTGCTCTAACATGAAAGCCATCAGGAGATTGTCCACCAAATCAAGGTTAGCAGGGCCATATATTCAAAAGGAACTCACTTCCAATATGCAAGTCAGCCAAATGCAAAGAAAGTTATTCTCTTGACTAAAGTGTCATTTTCTAGGGTGAAGATTGTGTCATCATCCTCAGTCCTAAAACAATTAGTATAATTTTTAACAATTTCTTCTTCTCTCCACTTTCTTAACTTCTATAACTAATCAAACAATTCAAATAAAATCAGGAAGACATGTGGCACTCCACATGCCAGGTCATGTTTTTAAAACATCATCTCATTTAATATTCCAATAATCATCCATATAGCTCTGTATTATCTTACATTGCAAAAGAGGGAAATGATGCTCAGAGTAATTAAGTACATTTGCCTAAAATATATGTCTAGTAATGGCAATAAAGGATTTTATCCTAAGTAAGTCTGACTTCAAAGTGCAGATTATTAACTACTGATAAACCATGTTCTGAGATCAAAGATTGAAATTTAGGTAGATGAGTTCAACTCAACTCTTAGCACTTAGGCCTATGAATGAGGTCTAGATCAAATTCTAATGATATAGTGGTGCTCAAGATGGTTCTTGCCCCTCCACAACTCATCATCAAGTAGAAAAGAAAGACAGGAAGCCAAAAAGAGTAAAGTAACATAGTAAATGATACACTACAGCAGAGGGTGGAGTGCCAAGATGCAAAAGCACCTCAAAGAACTAGTTTTGAAAAGTCTAAAGGTATAAATGCATAAATTAGATGATGACATCAATAGTAATTATAAATGATTATAAAATAAATATCAGACAACTAAAATGGAAACACGCTGAGTGCAAATAGGATGTCTTGTTGCAAAGATCCTTTAAGAAGTAGAAATGAGGAATTGCTATTCAGTAGGTACAGTTTCATTGGAGGAAGATAAATGAGTTGTAGAGCTCTGCTGTGCAAACTCTACCTATATTTCAAAATATAGGACTTCCAATTAAATTTTTTCATGAGGTTAAACTTCATGTTTTTACTATTAGAACACTTAGAAATATATATTTTATAAATACTGAAATTAAAATACAGTTAAAATATTAAATAAATTTACAATCAAGACTAAAATAATCAACATTTTATTATATTTGAGTTCAGTAAAGTACACAGTGTACAATAATCACTATTCAGAAGAAATAAATGGAGAACTAATAAAGAGGATTTTACAATGTGGAATTTTACTAACTATAACTCACATTGACTAGAGTCCTGAGATAACTTTTGATCAGTTCCTCTCTGTCTCTGTCTCTGTCTCTGTCTCTGTCTCTGTCTCTGTCTCTATCTCTGTCTCTGTCTAAGTATTTTGAACAGCACTCACACTCACCCTGGTTTAGTGTGGGCAAAAGGTACACTGTAGTTCTGACTTATGAGCTAAACTTTGGAAGTTGGAAATGAAAACTACAGCTTCAGTCTGTCTTCTGGGTTTATATCTCACAAAAAGTCATGCAAGTACATATCAGGAGGCACATGCAGGAATGCTCACAGTAGTTACATTTATAAAAGTAGAAATGGTAAACTTCTACTGACAGAAGAAAAGATAAAAATATATAGTATGTTCATTCAATAAAACACAACTCAATAATGACCAGGAACAGGGTAATGCTATATATAGGTTTACCTAACATATTAATGTTGTACACCACACTTAACTCACAAAAGGATACATATAATTATATTACATGAAGTTCAGTAGTGAGCAGAAACAAATGTTATTTAACAACACATATATGAGCAAATTTATCAAAACCCAAGGAAATAATAAACACAAGTGCAGAATAATTTAGTTCAGAAGGGAGGCTCACTTCGACAAAAGAATACAAATAGATTTATGCATTCATTTAAAAAAGTATTAAGGTAATACTGCATATCAGGTACCATTCTAGGTAATAAAGGATACAATAGTGAACAAAATGGACAAAAATTTCATGTCCTTATAGAGCTTACATTCTACTAGGCCTGATGTGATGTTGGGATTAGCATTGTCTGTTCATTAATTAGGGCTCTGGAATGTTCATTTAATTGTTATGCTGTATAATCTCATTACATGTTTTTTGTACTCTTTGTATGAGTATAGCAGCACATAATAAAAGAGTTAAAACAAAAATCTCAGAACTTTTGAATATCTCCCCAAAAAATGTCAACTGAAAGCACATCAGCAGAGGTTTTGAGAACAAGACCAGAATTTGCATACAACAGTGTGTTTCTTCTTGCTTCTCTGGGTTACATGGTCACTTACCATCCAGAAACAGGGTATTTGGTTTTGTGAGCCTGAAGCTATTACTGCATCACAGAATTGAAGAATCCTGAATTTGCTATTCTCTAAAAGTTGCACAACTAATTAAGTAAAAGTGGATTAAGGCTTTCTTCCTGCAAATGAATGATCAACCATAGGGATCATTGTCTGTAATGAACAGGCAATGCTAATCCCAACATCACATCAGGCCTAGTAGAATGTAAGCTCTATAAGGACATGCATTTTTTTGTCCACTTTGTTCACTACTGTATCCTTTAGTACCTAGAATGGTACCTGATATGCAGTATTACCTTAATACTTTTTAAAAATGAATGCATAAATCTATTTGTATCCTTTTGTCGGAGTGAGCCTCCCTTATGAACTAAATTATTCATAGGGAGGTTGCACTTAGGAACCCTCAATATTCACTCTTCAGTCTCTGTTTCTTCTCTTTATTTCTTTTCTGTCCTCTTACCCCACTCCCCACTCTTTCTTCCAAGAAGAACTTAGGGATACTTTAAAAAGAATGACTCATTTGAGCAAGTTTGCCAATGATTGTGGAACTAGAATAAAATGGAAAAGTCATAAAGCAATTTTTCTTGTTTGGAAGTGGAATGTCAACTGAACAGGGCTTTAGAACCAACTAGACTTGAGCTGGAATCCTGCCTCCATTACTGAATTTTGGGCAAAATCATTAAGGCTCTCTGAGTTCTACTAACTGTGAGTTCCACTGACTGTCAAAAGAGCTGGGTATTCTTTAACTTCTCTAGCTATCTGTGAAAATTACATTAACCAATGCAAATGAAGGACTCTCCTCTGTGCCTTCTGTATAGATGTACTGTAAAGCTTGCCTGTATTCAGCTTTGTCTTGTCATTAAAAATATGCATCTGATTTCCTAAAAACTAAAAGAGAACATTTTCTTGTCTATGCACATATTTTAGAGAAAGGAAAATACATGGGGAGAGAAGGGGCAAGACTGATTTTCACTACCCCAGAAAAGAATCCTATACCCATAAGAAGCCATTCCCCACTATCCGCCCCCTCAGACCCATAAGTAGGCATTCCCCATGACCTCC